TTTTCTTAATTTCCATGGGATTTGAGCTAAACACCCAATATATAAACCTTAAAATTATTTTTTTTTAAATAAACTAACCAGCCGACCTATCTACTTAAAAACCATTGCCACGTCGGAAAATACCATAATCGATCCCCTGGCCGCATACCAGACACGTGGACATACCGACATGTACATTGCAAATAAGGGCAAAAAAGACTTTTGTCCTTAATGGCGATAACAACTCACAAGCCAATAGGAGCCTCTATTTTCTCTCTAATCCTTAAAAAAAAGGTATCAAATCATTTCAATTTTATCCACTACAAATCCCCCAACTTACCATTTTCAAGATCCTTCTTCTTCTCCCTTGGATTTGGGTTTGCTCCAAAATCTGATTCTGTGACTTTTGACTTAGGGTTTGTTTTCCTGTCTGTGTTGGAGAGTTCTCTCTAATGGCGATCGTTTAGTCTGCTTTTGAGATGGGTTTCTCTCAGGCTATTCGCCTAAATCTTGCTTCCTACTCCTCTCTCTCTCCCTGCGAGGTTACCTTTTCTCTATTAGATATTCGTGCATATGTATTGCTACTGATTCAGACGACTTTTTGTTCTTATAACATTGTGAAGCTGTTTTGACATTCAAATCTTTGGGTTTTCTTGTTTTCTTTGCTGTTTTTGTTTCCATCTGCTTCAAAATGATGACAAAAATGAAGATTCTTAAGCTTAAAAGATTGGAAATTTCAAGTCTTTCTTGGAAGAGACAACCTTTATGTATTATTATTATATGTTTTGTTTGGTTTTGAGTATTACGATCAAAGGTTTTGGTTTTCTGTTGAATGAAACATCAAGATGTTGATTTTAATATGTGCGATATAAATTTCTTGATGCAGTATTGTTCGACAAGAGCTAACCAGAAGCAGAAGAGTCTTGTTACGTTCCTGAGCAGCAGTACAAGGGGAAAGGGACGTTCTTTAGTGAGTGTGAAATCAGTGTTGAACAACACAAGACCGAACATCAACGATAATGAAACAGCTGAGCCTTCCAAGGTTCTTCTGGAGAAATTATTCGCTCGGACACAGAGATTGGAGAGACAAACGAATCAAGACTCGGTTTATCCTGATGAGGATATGCCCTATTCAAGCCTTGGGGTGCTTGAGTCTGACCTTCAGGCTGCGTTAGTAGCCTTGTTGAAAAGGGAAGAGGAGTTGCAAGGTGCAGAGAGGAAGGTTCTCTCCGAGAAAAATAAACTGAACCGGGCAAAGGAGGAGTTAGAAAACCGAGAGAGGATACTTGTTGACGCTTCTTTGAAGCATGAAAGTCTACAAGAGGAGCTGAGGAAGGCAAATGTGGAGTTAGCTTCTCAAGCTAGAGAGATAGAAGAATTGAAGCATAAGCTTTGGGAAAGAGACGAGGAATTTGTTGCCTTGCAATCGTCCTTGGCTTTGAAAGAGCGAGAGCTAGATAAAATGCGTGATGAGATTGCAAACAAAAGCAAGGAGGTCTCTGTGGCTATTTCAAATTTTGAAAACAAGTCGCAACTCTTAAGCAAAGCCAATGACGTTGTTAAGAGACAAGAAGGTGAAATATACGCACTTCAGAGAGCTCTCAAGGAGAATGAAGAAGAACTAGAAATTTCTAAGGCTACGAAGAAACTTGAACGGGAAAAACTCAGAGAAACAGAAGCCAACTTGAAGCAGCAGACGGAAGAGTGGCTGATAGCCCAGGATGAAGTGAATAAGCTTAAGGAGGAGACCGTGAAACGGTTAGGAGAAGCCGATGAAACCATGGAGGACTTCAGGAGAGTGAAAGAGCTTCTGACTGATGTGAAATTTGAACTTGTTTCTTCTCGGGAAGCTTTGGTAATTTCCAGGGAGCAAATGGAAGAAAAGGAGCTACTATTAGAAAAACAATTAGAGGAACTCGAGGAACAGAGGAAAAGTGTGTTATCATACATGCAAAGCTTGAGGGATGCTCACACTGAAGTAGAAAGTGAGAGAGTAAAACTCAGAGTTGCCGAGGCGAAGAACATTGCACTTGAGCTGGAAATATCGGTCCAAAAGGAAATGCTGGAGGAATTACGAGAGGAGTTGAAGAAAGAGAAATCTCTGTTGGAGCAAGCTACGCATGATATATCCGTTATTCAAGATGAGCTGAACAAAAAAACTGACGCTTTTCAGGTGTCACAGAATCTGCTTCAGGAGAAAGAGTCAAGCTTGGTGGAGGCCAAACTAGAGATTCAGCATCTGAAGTCTGAACAGGCTTCTCTAGAACTATTACTACAAGAAAAGGATGAAGAACTCACCGAAGCTCGAAATAAATTGGAAATAGTGAACCGGGAGGTAACAGAGCTAAAGATGCTTATGACCACTAGAGAAGATCAGCTTATGCAGGCAACTGCAATGCTCAAGGAGAAAGATGTCCACCTTCACAGAATAGAAGGTGAGCTGGGCAGTTCCAAGCAGAAAGTCACTGAAGCTGAAATGGTGGTGGAAAGAATTGCAGAATTGACGAGCAGATTGCTTATGTCAACCACCAACGGTCAAAATCAGAACGCAATGAGGATTGACAATGAGATAAGTTTTGACTCGATGCAGGAACCACTAGAGAAACCTCACGATGATTACGGTATGGAGAACAAGCGGCTAGTGATGGAGTTAAACTTCACCAGAGAAAATCTTCGGATGAAAGAAATGGAAGTTCTAGCTGTGCAGAGGGCTTTGACGTTTAAAGACGAAGAGATCAATGTGGTCATGGGAAGATTAGAAGCCAAGGAGCGGGAACTCAAGAAATTGAAAGAAGAAACGGTCAATGAAAGTGAAGATTTGAAAATGCTATATGCCTTGGCACAAGAGAGAATCGAGGGGAGAACAATGGGTGATCTCGCCATAGAGAAGCTTCAGCTTGAGGCAGCTCAACTCGAAGTTGAAGCGGCAACGAGCGCATTACAGAAGCTTGCAGAAATGAGCACGGAACTTCTAACTCAAGCTGACATGAGCATCGAGGCTGACTCCAATTTCATTGTAATGCCAGAAGACGGGATTCATCGGGAAAACAATTCAGCCGAAAGCAACGATTGTATTACCGAGGTAAAATCAGAAGTTGTCAGGCTCTGGTCCTTAACAGAGAAACTCCTGGAGAATGCAGGAATTGTTGCTGGTACATCCACAGGCATGAAAGGTGCGACTTTATAAGCCTGATCTATATTATTCTTTTTGTGGATATGTAGAATTTACCTGAGGTTAAACTAAGATTGTTCAGCACATGAGGCCTGTAAGGTTGTCTGATAAGTTCTTGAAAAGGTTTGACATGTATAATAAGAGATTTGTACCCTCTTTATTCTTCTTATGAAAATGAAACGTTGGTGATCTATGGTGATATTTTGGTTATGGTAACTAAAACATTATAGGAAATCTTAGCGAGATTTTGATCATTGGTAAGACAAAGTCTTTGGTTTTAAGCTGATGGGTCTGATTGGTATCTGCTTAATCCATCAATATACAATGCAAGAAAGTCTTTTACTAAGTTCAAAGAGATAGAAAAAAAAATGTTATTATGTACATGTGCTATCATGAAACCATGACTAGAACAGTGTAATATGCAGACCAGACCAGGCCATACCAGGTTTAACACAAACCTAATCACAGCCTTAAACACTGAACACAAGCCATTTAGATTTGCCAGAGTCCTGACCATCCAGAATCTGGCAATCACCTTGCCCACTCGAGCCATCGTGTTGTTTCCCATCCTTTGATTTTCCGATTTTCTTCCCGACGAAGAACCCTAACTTCATTGCAGTCAATAGACCCATGGCAATCAGCAAAGGTCTCACAGCCCAGTGAAAATCCTCCAGATGCTGGTACTTTTTCACAACTCCTTCACATGTATTGAAATTCACAATCTCTACTTCAGCTGGATCCGCAAGACAACTTCCTTGTTCCTCTCCAAAAGGTAACACTCCAGGGAAATCAACCTCAAGGCAACCGTTTGGTAAAACTCTAGAGATCCTGCCAGTTGCCCAAATCCCTCTTCTTTTACGCATCCATTTGAATGTTGGGATGACAACATTGGCTTTGAGCTTCACAAATTGACCCACACTGTATGGTTTTGCCATCTGAAGCTGTGATGAAGTCCCTTTCCAGAGAGTTGGCAACCCAATAAACGCAACAGCTACATTTCCCCCGCGGGTGATTGAATGGAGAATACCAACCGGAGAATGCCTCTTGTCTTCCCCGTCCTTCAGACGTACCCAATCCCCAGAAGCTAAGCCATTAGTTACCCGTTCAAGAACAGAAACGTGAACCCTTAGCGGATCATGAATACCATGGACTTTAACCAGTGCAAATTCATCTGGGTCGGTGTCACGTTCCAAACCAACCACCATTCCTTCTGGCACATCCATGTTCTCATGCTTACACGAATTGGCAGGCTTTCTTGAACGCACCGTGTCGCCCACTTGCAAATGATCCTTTGATAGAAACCATTCTGTATAACCAAGAGTAGCCGAGCTCTTCCTGATTTCTCTACTATCAATGGCCCTCCAGACCTCTTCCTCCTCTGAATTCTGCAAGCTGCCAAAACAATTCCAGTTAACATCACAATTCAAGGTGGCCAAACGTGCTAATCAATATGTACATCAAGAATTAAGATATTGGATTCCAGAAATTATTAAGACATCAGAAAAGGCCACTAGTATTCCAATCCTTGAGAATCACTAATTTGTCAGGAGATACTATGACTAAATATAGTGATAATATAAACACTTTTGCATCGATCTTGTTCAAAATGAATATAAAATTGTGACAAGTTATGATTTACCTCTTGAAGACATGTAAGATGTCAGTCATTGAAGGCCGGCTTCGAAGATCATACATAAAGCAACCCCGAAGTAGGTTCTTGAGAGCAGGCGGTATGCCATTGGGGATATTAAGCTTTTCTTGCTTTCTCACCACTAAGTCATATATTTCATCAATGGATCTCCCACACCAAGGTTGTACGCCAGTCAACATTTCCACAATGCTGCATCCAAATCCCCAAGCATCAGTCTCAAAGGACATGGGACCTCTGACTTCCGGTTGCCACTGTTCTGGAGCCATATAGTTTGGAGTTCCAAGTCTCACTGTCATATCAGAACTTGGCAAAGGGATACTAAGAAGGAGATAAGGGATTCCAACATCCCCGACGATGGCCTTGTCGTTATCACTGAGAAGAAAGTTAGAGGGCTTAAGATTGAGAATTAGAAACCCTTTTGAATGTAACTCCAGGATCCCTGTAACCAGATCAACTCCGTATCTGTAACGTGTGGTTCAACATAGATAAGTGGAGATTAGTATTCTATATAAGAATGAAGAAGACGGGTGCTACTATGAGCTGCTTACTTGTGTAATGCAAAATTACCTCAATACATCAGGCAGTGAAAGCTTTCCTCCTTTAAGCCGAGCCATCTTGTCACCAATACAGCCCTCATAGAACTTCATGATGATGCATATCTGTAGCATACATATCATCAATTAAAAACAAAAACTGAAAATATGGGATACATCGAGAAACATATGTTTGTTTTACTTACCCTCCCACTAATACTAGAGACTCCTCGGAGCAGACACACATTCTCTGTCCCTTGACACTTGGAAAACAAATCTTCAAACTTGTCTACCACAACCCTTCTTTGATCCTCCTTGATAGGATGTAGCATTTTGATCGCCACTTCATGATGCTCATCATAGTCCTCGGTTGACTGATGATGAGTAGCAAGCCAGACATCACCAAAGGGACCTCTTCCAATCCGATGCTGAAGCTTCAACGTTGCAGAATTCATCCAAGGGCTAGTACCCGCTGCTAAAGCGCTCTCGGACTCACCTTCAATGATTTCATACTCAGAATCATCCGGCTTACCAGCAATAATCTTTGAAGCCATTTATCTTTTTTCCTGAACCAACAAACATAGTTTTACCAGTTAGAATACCACATAAATGCAACAAAAACCCAAACTTTTAAAGCAAGAACTCAATCACATAAGTCGAAAAGTCGATCTACAAGCAAACAGAATCAAACCTACGTTTACTAAAAAGGAACAACCTTTCCACTCACTATTTAAATATAACTACAAGCAGATCGAGGTTGCGATAATGTGAAACTGATTCCTTAGGAAAGCTATCATGGTGAAGCCCAATATAAGCAATTGAAGAGAAAAGTCAGAAATCAGAGACGTGTATGTGTTATTCACTTTGAAATAAGTTAGAAACACAAACAAGGGACAAAGACAGTATCGTGG